AAAAAAAAAAAAAAAAAAAAAGGAGCTGGTTACACAGCAACCAAGTTTCACCACCACACCTCAAGCTACCAACAACCAGCCAGAGATGTACAAGTAAAAACACCAACCCTGGAGTGTAGGATGTATGTAAAACTCCACCTGTTGAACTTTCGGGGCCTCCAAAATATGTAAATGCACCACGGGTTTGTTTCTTCAAATACCTTGCTACAAAAAGTACTTGCAATTTCAGCAGTATGAAAATAAAGTCCTTACCACTCGAATGCTGTTCCCCTTTGGGCAGTCACAAAGGCAGTGGAACGGCAACGATGATTCTCGTTGCATTCTGTTTAGCAACAAAACTCTGCAGCTGCCCAGCTCAAAGGAATATTTTATGGTTTGGGGTTTTTTTTTTGAGAACCTCTGCATTCAAACAATACTTTCTTAGTAGCAAAACAGTACTAGTTCATTTAAAACAAATTTCACTAAGAGTCTAGATGTGACCTATGTAATCTATTTTATTTAGAATCTGTAGATGACAGGTGATGCAAACACTGTTTTCCAACCACGTGTGAAATTTTTACAACTGCAGGTCACCTACTCTCCACGGAACAGCTCAGAACTGAAGTCTTGAATAACTAAAAAGTTTCAGACTGCAATTGTGATTTGTTACTGTTAATCTAGGGAGGGCATTAGCAGTAACTTGACAAGTAGTTCTCCAAGCCAAGAGGACTTCAGTACTGAAGGAAGACCTGTCATGGAAAACCTGAAGCCTTAAAAAAAAAAAAAAGTGAGAACATGTAAAAAGCTTTACTATGGCAATGACTTGGGTTATGTAGAGCTTGGAAGTTACTCGCACAGATGTGGCCCCACCGTGCTGTGCAGATCACCGCAGCCAACCTCAGTTTCCACTTCCTGTCATCTGATGTGAATGTGAGACAAACCAGCAGCTCCCCCATTTCCTTTTCCTCTACTCTTCCTCCTGGCACCCCGAGCGCTATTCAAACACAGGCAAGGCTTCCTCTGAACAATGCTGTCCCAAGGATACCGCAAATGTACCGGGCCACATGCGAAACCTATTATTGCGAAGAATTTTGCCCCACTGGGAGTCAGTAGGAGTCTGTAACAACAACTTACGCACACATTGTTTTCTAGGTGAGACTCATCAAGATGGGATCCTAGACAAGCGGCAGAACAGTTGAGGAAGTTGAACACCCGCTATTACATACCCGTGGAAAATGAATGGTCATTCACAGGCTACTGGAAACTAGGTAATACGTATGTATAACTGTAGAGCTGGAAATGAAATTTTTGCCTGTCCAAAATGTTGAAAAGTCCCAACAGGCTTTACAAACGGGAACGGGCAGAGGAGGCAGTCCTACTCTGCTTGCCAGACGAGAGATGTAACTAACCAACAGGTTTTCCCCCCCACAGGATGGGAGCACTGAGAGGGGATGTGAACAAACAGCTGTGCCACAGCGCATCTCCTACCCTGCTGTGCAACTGAGGGACAAATGCTGCACCAGGCAATGCTCACAGCAATGGCAAGGGGGCTCCACGGCTTCCCTGCTCGGTGACACCAAACCCAGAACCAACCATGGGCTGCTCTGCTCCTGCACTGCCGTGGCAGGCCCCAAGCAGGGAGCACTCAGCATCAGAAGTGCCTGCAGACAGTCTCCTACGTCACTGACAGCTGCGAGGTCCTGGGGTGCCCGCTCGCCTCCTTCCAGCTGCCAAGAATACCCTCAGCGAACTCCTAATGCTGTTTTCTTCCACGGGCAGAACAATCCTCAAAGCATGCTGGATAACAGAAATCACCCAAACAAACGCTACTGGCAAGGTGGAATGCTCACCAGAAGACCCAGCACACCCCAGTACGTAGGGTACATCAGTGTTCAAGATCCTTCGAGACTCCCATCTGAGTCACAGTTCCTCAGTATGTGCAATAACCTCCTGTAAGCCACCAACTTGCAGGCTGTAATTTGTGGGCAGCCCTACATTTATAAATTCCTATTACTGCAGCTTGTGCTCCAATGTGTACGTTACCTATTAACTCCCCAGCACTTGATTGCAGCTATAGGTTGCTCTCTAAACAAGAGTCTTGGATTAATTCAAGACTTTCCGAACTCTTTTCTGCTCGAGAAAGTCACAACCAGTTATTAACCCTGCTAACAATTCAATCAACTTCACTACGTCTTAAACAAATCTAACATAGAAATTGCAGAGGCAACCCTTTAAAAATCAGATAAAAGCAGCAAATGACCAACCAGCTATTTAGTTTTTCAGGTATATATGTTTTTAGTCGTGTGATTAGTAACCTCAACAGGGGTAATTCAGATGAGCAACTATGAGCAGAGATGTAAGCTCTTAGGATAAGAAAGTAAGGGTCAAAACCATTTACAGAAACTTACTGACCTGACATAGAACTGCACTCTTTTCTACACTGACAACGTGTTAAAAGGAACTGCCTCTTTTTTTAATTCACAAGGAAATGGAGATTACAATATAGCCTGCAGGGGAGAATAGGCATTTTTAAAGCAAAACCAAAGGCAAGACACAGATTTATAAAGCCTGAAGTAAGTAACAAGCACTGTCACTCATCACTGGGCTAACTTTAAAGCTTTAGTAGCATGGAAGCACTTTAGATTTGATGACACTGGAGAATGAAGCCCCTTGCCCGCAGCTGTGATACTGCTCTGGACACTGTCCCCAGCAGTGAGGGGACCAGGACAGCTGTGCACCACACCCAGACTGCTGAATTCAGACAGCTTGCAATAGGTTACTGGAAAAGGAACAGCCTGCTCACGCAAGAAGCCGACAAACACACAAAACTCATTTCACCCAAGCTATGAAAACAGTAAATTCTAGCATATAAAGCTGTTACTTGTCTGGCCTAGATTCAGGGAAACAACCTTGACTGAAAGAGTCTTTAAAAACACCCACTAACGGTCACCCCGGGAAGCGAAGGATCTAACGCATTCACACGTACCCACCATCTTCTCCTCACACTAACCCGGTTTTCTGAATCTTTAAGGACCCAGCAAACAACACGCTCGAGAAGTCCTGTATCTAATGTCATGTGGTCAGTGAATGTGGATAAACCAGAGTAATGTAGCCGTGGGATAAAAACAGTAATTAATGCGGAAACCACCCAAAGCTGAATGGCTGAAAAGCACAATGCATTAATGATTCCATTTAGAAGCTATTAGAAAACTGCTCTGTTAAGATGAACCGCATTTAGAATAAAAACCTAGCACCTGCACACACACAAAAAGAAGCAGGAAGAAAAAGTATTCCATGACAGGCATATACAATAGTTAATCAAAAGTGCTTGTCTCTTAGAAGTGTATAAACCCCAAACTGATTTTGGGTTGGGTTTTTTTTTTGTTTTATTTGGGGGTTTTTTGGTTGTGGTTTTTTTTTTTTTTTAATACAACCTAGTGATTTCTCAGCACACTATCCAAATATTGGACAGCAAGTCATATTCCCTTGACAATTTAGCTGTTCAAATGTTTGCTCAAAAGATAATTATCTGTAGTCTGGAGAAAACACAAAATGCATACACACACACACACATTAGATTTATGCACTTATCCACCATAAGCAGCCAGTCACACCACATCCTACCTCGCTACCAGTTACTCCAGTGAGTAACTCTCCTCTGTTCAACCTATATCCCACTGCTGACACCAGCTAAATAATAATAAAACAAAGCTCTTGATCACCCTGAAAGTCTCTAACGTAGAATTCTAACATTTCCCTATTTTAGAAAACAAAGATGTTTTCAACCCCTGAGCTTCCAGCCCTATCAGTGGCTCAGATGACTGCTGTATGTTGTAGTTACACGCCTGTCTCTGTACCCCTTGGTCTGGGGGGCCAGAACAGACTCCCCACCCCCCCTGCACACCCACATTTTGGGCCACCCGATGCCAGGCAGCAGCACCGAGCAGCCACGGGTCACCCGCCAGTGCCATGGGAGCTGGGACCAGTTGGCAAATCTGCCGGAGTGGGTGAGCATCACCCCTAGCTGCAGGGCAGAGGCAAGAGCTGGGTGTGCTACATCAGCCTGTGCTACCCTCCCGGGCATGGGGACACCCCCAGAGCGGGTCCCCCCTAAACTGCCACCCGCCCCACACCCAGGCGAGCCCCCGGTACCGGGGACCGGAGGGTGCGCAGCACCCGGACCTAAGGCTGGGACCTGGGAGGGGCAGCCAGGGCTTGGGGGGGGGACACACCAAGGCGGGGAGATGTGGCACTGTCCAGGGGTGCTGCGCTGCTGCTGTGGGGGGGAGCACGGCTCCACTCACGGGGGCAACGACAGGGGTCGGTACCGCTGCTGGGGGCGGGGGAGCGGGAGGGAGGCGGCGCCCCTGAGGG